TCCTCGTTCCTCGCTCCTATGTGAGATCATGACAGCAAGAAGATGACAAAATGAAACATTTGCAAATGTTTCCTTGTGCAGTACTGGCTGTTCTAGCGGTCACATACCTTTAGTGCTTTACTAAATATGTATCCTTCTTTAATAAGACAATCATAGAATGAACTGTGACAAGCTAAGAAATCCATCAATTTTCCAAATGGCTCACAAGGATGTTAGAACCATTGGGATGCATAGGATGCATAGAATCCCATTGTCTTGGACCATGAACACCATGAAAACACCATGGAAAGATGGCCAGTCACACACAAATTCACATACACCTATGAACAATTTAGTGTATTTAACCTATGTTGCATGTCTTTAGTTGTGGGGGAAACTGGACCAAGCTGAGAAATATTGATTGTAAATGTACTTAAATTTCATTATTTAAAAAGTAGGTAACACTTTATAGCTAGTAAACAGTAATAAATCATTCATAAACTGTTATTTTGTAGTTAATTAATAGTTTTTAAATTGCAGTCTTATAAATTGTAGTTAATACATTAATAGCCCTATGTACAACTAGTGAATCCTTCATTAATTTACATACTAATTTACTTACATATGTAAAGTGCTCATAGTTAGCTCATATCTAACACACCTAACTCCGACCTGACTAGAAACTTTAATTTCTTACATTTCTATTGGTTTAATATGTAGTATAAATTTAAGCAGGTTGCATGTTAATAAAGTCTTAATTTTGTATTTGACACACTACTCTAAAACATTTCTTCAAAAGTGACGTGACATGTGGCCAATTCCAAGTATGGTGACCCATACTTGGAATTAGTGCTCTGCATTTAACCCATCCTAAGTGCACACACACAGCAGTGAACACACACACACCGTGAACACACATCCGGAGCAGTGGGCAGCCATTTATGCTGCGGCGCCCGGGGAGCAGTTGGAGGTGCGTTGCCTTACTCAAGGGCACCTCAGTCGTGGTATTGAAGGTGGGAGAGAGCGCTGTACATTCACTACCCCCACCTACAATCCCTGCCGGTATGAGACTCGAACCCGCAACCTTTGGGTTACGAGTCCGACTCTCTAACCATTAGGACACGACTTTCCC